ATTTCTTCTGTCGAGAAAAAAGTAAACAAATCAAAAAAGGGGGTTGCTGGTAATTGTACACATTTAGAAAACTCCCGTGAAATACCTAGGAAGCGCCTACCGCACTTTCACTGAAAACTCGGTTAATCTTGACATGGGCGCTTGTTCAGTCAAATCGGTAAAAACAAAGGTGGCGGTAAATGAAAAACTTTGAAGGTAGGGAGGGTGAATGGAATCTGAGAAAGCACATTTATTTTCACATCGTGGATGATGGGGTCCCCTTATCATTTATCATGCGAAAATAAATGAAGTAGTACTTATTCATTGTCACTGAACCCAGAAAACAACTCATCTGAGTCAGTGCAGAATAGGAGGGCACTGCGCTCATGACAAGTAGTTTTTCCCTTTCGATCGCAAGAAAGTGGATATTCCCGTCATCGCCACTGGCGGTTTGTGGCTGCCGTAAAGGGGTGAATATTTTCGGCTGATGCCGGCGCTTTGGGGAGGGTGGGCACTCAACATACAATTTGCAGAATTCCCAAGTTTGAGAAATGTTAATAGTGGGCGCTTGCACGAAGTGGGCGTTTCTGCAATATTTTACGGTGTTCTCTATAAGCATCAGAAACGCTTAAGGGGGAACACTGGTCTTGGAGCTTTTTTTCTTATTTTATGACCAAACTTAATGAAACTGCATAAGCTTGTTCAGCTTTTTGTGCTGATTTCATATATCTGGTCATTTTCTCGGTCAGTAGCATTGTCCTCAAAATAACTAAAACTTGCCTGCTTTTGTTTGGAGAAACGATAGAAAAAAAACTGCTCTACAGAATATTCTTTTTAACACATGGCTCGATACTATGAAGTGTAGAGAATACAATGTTGGAAGCACTTTTAAGATAAACTCATTATTAGTGATTTTACCAGACATTGAAGTTCAGTGCTCAATACATGTCTAAAAAGTAATATAGCAAAAGGTCAAAAAGAAATTTTTCTAGACATACTTTAAAAAATCTGCTCTCAACATTGTATGCTTCACACATTTAGCAACACATTTCAAGAAAGATTATATTTCTATCTGCTCTAGGTGCTGAGATATCCCTCCTGTAAATTTTCAACAAGTCCAAAAATTGTGTTTTGTGAAAACAATGTTTTAGAGTCAACTTCAATCTACAGACAAGCCCACATAGATATTATAAATTGATTTATAGCTCAAATATTCATTCACGAAATTATAAGCCTGGTAGATTCAGAAGAACAACAGCCATCGCCATTTTCAAAAGAATGCAGTTTTAGGAAGTTTTTGGCTCCAAAGACCATTAAAAATAAGAAATATCGGTTAACAGTTCGATGAAGGGTCATTGTGACAAACTACCCTATGGTAAGTGCACTATGTGACGATTAGGCCTGTCACCAGTTGACGTGTTGCAAATTGTCATTCAACAAATGATCCTACAGCTGTTCCTGACACATGTACAGTTGCCGAGTGATTTTTCGGACGTCGATTATTCGGACATTTTTGCCGAACCGTCACTCACGTCATAAAGTTAATGTATAGGGTGGTTCAAGTCACCAGGCTCGATCTAAAATGGACCGTAAAAATCGACGCCTGCACGCAGCCATCCAAACTTTTCGTCAAAGATGTAATTCACAGGTCGGTCTTTCCTTGTAAAATTACAAAGCGTAGCCCTCTTTCTGTAAAAAATAAGGCCAAGAAACTTGCCAGGGTCTTTGGCGGGCAGCAATGCAGACAGGGGTTCAGTGGTGGGGTGTGTTTGGCGTTCATATTGATAGACGGCGCTACCTCCTCATCGCGACGGATTGCGACTACCGTGGTTTATTAAAATGAATATAATCCTTGTGAAATGTACCTTTGGGTAAAAAAATAAATGCGAACAATAAAAGAAGTAAAAAAACGCGTCTGCATAACGGCGGCGCTTTTGCTGCCAACGGATTTTGTCTGCGTGTCGTCTGCTATCTTTCGCTGGTCGGCTGCACCTTCAGACGCTGCTCCCGACGGATTTCACCGAGCAAGACGTCTCTTGTGGATGTGGTGTGCTTGAGTGTTGTGCACGAGCACGGTGTGTGTGAAGGCATCTCCAAATGCCCCTCCGCGAGCCCAAACTTTGTCGCGTCTACGCCGAAGCCTTCTCGAGCAGGACCATGCCTGTGTCACTGTCATGCTTTGGGTTAGTAAAGTTAGTGGCGCTTCGCGCGAAGCCTGTCGCGGTGTTTTGTCTCGATCTGTACGTAACGGCGGCCTACGATTCTTTATCGCGGTAGCAAACGTCGATTTCTCTCTTGCACAACGGTGCCACGGTGCGATGTTTGAATTTTGCAACACTGTGGGGTGGTGAACAGGTTCGGTCTGTCCTCGCTGGCGTCTGCTCGTCGTCTCCCTCGTGTGAATGCGCTTAGGAGACGGACGAACCGTGGACATGTCGTCACGTGATCAATCCGTCCACGGATCAGTTCGTCGTGTGAATACTCGTTTCACGGGGAAAATAGTGTCTTTCCCCAAAACAATATGGAAAATATATTCTCAATTTAGCGGTTCAAGCCAGTTTGAATTTTTTTTTTTTTTTTTTTCGTAGTGCAAAACTGAATTGAAAACCGTCAACCCAAAGCACCAAGGAGCATGCTACGAGTGAAGTGACACGTGCTGCATGTGCTGCAGTCTGCAGCAGAAGCTGTTTTAAAGCAAAAACCTAAAGCAAATGGGGCATCTTCTTTGTGCATTCGTGAACGCCCTATTTTGGTAATTTACTTCAAATCTTTTATCTGGAGAAGGTGAGCGCATGAGGCGTGTTGACCTACATTCCTAGCATTTTCGGTGATGCTAGGATAATTTAGCAATAGGTCTATTACTCTGGCTGGCCTCGTCTATTTCGTGTTGCTTTGTCGAGCCTCGCATAGCTTCCACAGTGCATGACTGCTGCACTGTGGAAGCTACACTCGCAGTGATGTGATTGTTGCGCCCAAGGGCTCAACCTGCTACATCCTGCTACATTTTACCGAAATGTGAGGAATTTGTACCAACATTGCGCAGAAACTTCATTTCACATTAATAATCCTGGAAATGAATTGCTCAGGCCTTGCTACCCAGCCGGATTGTTATGATATGCCTGTGCAGGTTTTCAGAACTTTCGATAATCACCTCAGATAACATACTATTCAATTGGATTTTGCGTCACACACTGGCGCCACTAGGAAGTTTGGCAATTATTCTCATGTTGATTGTTTGTCCTGGCAGATTAGTATCGTTGAGTGGGTTGCTCCCCACGCACTGATGTACTGCAGTGAAGCGACAAACGCAAAGTAGTCATCGAGATTTCGCTTGTCTTGCTTCACCGCAGTGCACTCGCGTGCTCAGGGGAAAGCACTCCTCGAAAGCTAGACGTAGCACAATCTCTGAATAAAACTTCGGCTTGTATACACCTCTCCGATGTTTACAGATCTATACAAATCCACAGCTCAGCGTGCGATATTCACAACCAAACACACACGGGCTCGTGTCTTGAGGAAAACGCACGTCATACGCACAAACTCTGAAGATGGAGCTTGCCTGAGGCCCTTTATTGAAAGGGTCTGGACTCTATATTTGAGTGTGCTGTTTTAAGTGGATGCTGAGAACGAACTCCGATTAATAGGCTGGTAAGAAAGGGAATCTTGATGGTGCGGGAATGCGCGTTGCAAAAGAACTTTGGATGCTCGCCGTCAGCACGCGCTCAGCAGACGCGCATGCAACTATGGCCGCCAATGAATACTCCCCATACGATAGACTGCGATATCCTGGTGGCATCTTTTTTTCAATTCCAGATTCGTATAGATACTTTGGTATTCAACAAGATTTATATGGACTCTTCGGTGGGCTTATGTTTATACTTTGCTTTTGTCTAAATTAAGACTTGCAGTTTTATTGCAACCTCTAGAACTTACAAGTTTTTGTGCTTTTAATTATTGTATTATATTATTTCAGTGGAATTTCTTACCTAAATATCCATTCACGGCAGCTTGTGCTGTCCTTGATCGGTCATATTGTTCCGTGTCTGGTGCTTTTACATGCTACTAAATGGCTAATTCTGTGTTTGAGGGAATCGCTTCCGCTGTGTAATCAGTGCTAACGAAAGGTTACACATTAGTGAGAAGGCGAAGTACACATGGCATATTAGTTGGACAGGCCAACACGTGAATCTTAATATAATATTTGCAGTGATATGAATGAAAATGAAGTGTGGCCTTATGCTCCAAAAGCTCTTTTTGCTGCTCCAAATTTTACTTTTCACTGCTCCAAGAGCTGGACGAAAATGACTCAGACCAATCACATCACTGCACTAGGCTGCACAATGCAGCAAGAAATAGTTGACGCCTAGTATAAACTGACACATTGGTTACAAACAAAACTGCATTTGCTAACACCAGGTGTGGGCACTGCGCGAGCGCACAAACTAGATTTGTGCGAGGTGGAGCTTCTGCGCATGCGCCGTGGCGACAACAGCGCCACCGCAGAGGCGTGACATCAGAGTTGCGTTGGTGCATAGCTGCAACGATTGTAAATATTGGGCAGTCAACTATCAAACTATATGTCATTCCATTGTAAACTACATGCCTGTACTGTGAAAAAGGTTTAACAGCGCTCTAAACATTTGCAAAGAGGACGAACCGACAGCTGGCAAACCTAATTTGGTAGCGGACATTGCATTAAAAGTCACCGTGGCTCACAATGTTACTCTGAACATTATGTATTTGTTTACTTTCCAGCGAGTTCTAGACCTGCCTTGTGTGTTTGCAGCTTGCCTTCAGCTTGGCGAGACATATTTCTCATCCTCCGGTTCTGAACTTGATTACGATGTGGAGGGGGGACGGTGACCGGACATGTTAACGCACCACAGCTGGAATAATGTGGATGAAAGCTCATGCTGCAGAACCCGGGGATCCGGGGTTCAATCCCTGTCCCTGCCAGTTTTGATCTGGATAAGTGTCGTATTGGCGGGTGTCTTTGGAGCCTGACCCCATCCAACGTTAGTATGGAACCAAATCAGTCTTTATATCACAGTAAGTTTGTTTCCCTCTCTTTAATAAACATGGAACAGTGGTGGTGGTTTGACTACGGCCAGTCAAAGTCTAGATCAGCTCTTGTACAGACTCCTAGAAGTCCGTGCTAATTCTGAGATCCTCCGCCAGGGAGGCGTCGTCAGCAGATCCCAAATAGGGAGCAAGAGTCGTGCGTCTGTTTTCCACGTGCCGCTATTCTCCGAGATTAATCACGCGAGGAGCAAAGAATCCTGCGCCATGTAGGAAAGTTGATTCGCCGACGTTTCACACGCGCTCCGGCGTGCAAGTGTGTGTGAAGTGGCGGCGTGCGCAGCGCCGCTATTTGCCGAATTTAGTTGTGTGACCGGCCACAATCGACGGAGCATGGCTCCTACACGTGCGAGGAGTGGATTTTCCGCATAACCTAAGATTTTTAAACGTGCATCTCTGGCTCCCGTAGGGGGCCCATGCATAAAGTCCAAATCCCAGAAAAAGGTGTGCATGGTGATGAGGGTTGGGCTTAGAGTACACGAAAGCAGAAAATCGGGAATTTTAAGGGAGGTTCGTGGCAATGGTGAGTGAATGTTTGGCAATTTAAATGTTAAGTTCCTATACGTGGTATTCCGGGCACTTCTGGCCACTGGCCACCTTGACAGGGGCCGAAAATCTGTTTTGATTTGAGTATTCGTTGCATGCCTTTAAAAAGCAAAGTTTTGCGTTTTGTAACAGAATCGGTGCTTTGTGCTGTTCTGCGTGCCCGCTGGCTACGAAAATGCCCTAGTTTTGTGCGGTTGACTGCACGGCTTTGATTTGAGAGATCTCTGTGCAATAAAAGACGCCGTGGCTGTCGAGCGTAGCCCGGGCTCTATTGTGGCCAGTTGCTTCGAATACGCGTCGATTTCACGCAAGCACTAGGAATTTTATTTTTATTTTTTTATCAAGGTTGCGCACACCTTACTTTTCCAGTAATTGAAGAGACTTGCATATAAAGATTGATTGAAAGAGTAATTTATGGCTGCCACTTTGAAATGTTCAAACAACGAGAAATATAAATAAGTTTACATTTTAGTTTGAGGCATATGCTGCCATACATCAGTTGCTGACTATATTTTTAGACATTTAAAAAAACAAAAATATGAATTTTTTTGTTAAAGCAAAATACTTTTATTTATATTAAATTTCGAGCTCTTGAACGGTTGTGACCAGACAGTTGTTTGTGGCAGTCTTGAACAAACTCCAGCTGGGAGAGGACTGCGGATGGGGATCTTTCAACGTAGACCTGAACGTGGGAATCCGCAAGTCGGTACAATTTGCCCAAGATAACCCGAAAGCCAGGAAAGCTTTTTCTTTTTGGGGCGTGCAATTAAATGTCTCTTCATGAAGTAAAAAATGAAGCAGCAAAAAACTATTAGTACCATCCTCTCAATTTCATTATTCGTGGACATCGTCATGCACGACGGCGTGTCTCTGCACATCTTTAAGACAGGAGACGAATGGAAAGAATGGTGACAGGACACATGTCTCAAACTCAGCTAACAACTTTTATTGAAACCATCCCTTATATACGTTTTCTCCCGCACCCACACCCGGACAACTGCGCACGCCCAATGGCTCACCGTTATACAATTCCTAGACTAAACTGCCCACATAGCAAAAACACACCTCGATAGGACATTCAAGTGACCTGTATCTGCATGGTATGTTCGAGCAGTTTCACGTGATCGGCAGCAAGCTGCACACAAATCTTGTTTTCTTGTCTTATTACCCGGGTTCTAGATTCTTGAACATCCTTTTCAAGTCTGCATCTGAGATGTCTTCACGTGAATATCATTCATGAAATCGTCATGGTAGGCCGATAATGCAATCTTGATATCTCCATTCGTCGGTGAAAATGCACCGTTTGCTTTTCGGCGGGCGCAAGCACAGGCAGCACAATCCTCAGTCCTCCGCTGGGGCTGCCAGATGCCCGTCGTTGGTTTGGCACGTAAAACCCCCAAATTTTTGTACATGACATATGAGACCAACTACCCAGAACACAATTTGGGGCTCGAAATTCGTTTTCTTTCTGCCTGAAAACCGTTGATTGAAAACTGGCCGGTTTGAGTCACGCTCACTCTCTTCTCCATGGTCACGTGTTGTTTTCTATGGTTTAGACACAACCACCAAAGATAATCAGTCGTGAGTCATTGAAGGCACACACAGTGCTAAAAATAGAAAAGAAATATGATACCCATTTTTTGTAGCTTGTAAAGAACTGCAAATACATTGATTGAAGAAAAAAAAAAGAGTGGCACAGCCGCGTGACTTTTGGTAACTTTCTCCTCCTCTATATTTCTTCTTCCTCCCCAGTCCAGTTTCAGTTTTGGTTTCGAGCAGTAGCGGTTTTTTACTTTATTAAAAATATACTTGACGCTGTAGCAAAATATTGATTGGATAGTCTTTGGCACCATAATGGGCCACGTGGCATAAAGATAGAAATATTTTTTGGGGGGTGTCAGTGTCCCTTTAAAGGGATACTACAACGAAATTTCGGCGCTCATTTTTTGGTCTATATATGTTCAAAAAAGCACCATCAAATCGAACATACCAATATATCTTGTTAAAAAAGTCACGAAAAGGAATTTTAAAACAAATTAAACGATTAGCAAAGAGCACCTGGTGGATGTCGCTAACGCCTCGCTTTTAATGCCCGTCTAGCAACCTTGGCAGCTAGTGACGGAGGTTGTCTCGCCTCCGGCCACGACGAGAGAAGAGGGGCAAGAGGAACTCATCTCTTCCCAAAAATGCCTTTTGTGTGTCACAGAAGTCGCTATTGTCCCCCTACAAGATTATAGAAGACTAACCCGTCACTCAAAATTTGTGCAAAAGCAGCCACTTCGGTGGCTGGAACGACTAGGCCATCCTCTCGACGTCGGCCTCGCCGTAGCTTTGCTCGTCTTGAGACGACCTACGTCACGATTGCGTTGGATGTCACGTGGTCTCCGCTGGGCCTTCTCCGAGAGCTTGCCAGAGTGGGCCGTTTATAACGAAAAATACAGCCACCAGGCTCAAAATACAACGGATATTACGGATATTGTGGATCATATTCAACCTATTTTCGAACACGACGGGAATATTTCAAATTTCGTTGAAGTATCCCTTTAAAGGGTAACTCCAGACACTTTCTTGATTTTAGGGTTATGGCGGTTTTTAGGGAAGGAAGTGTTCCTCAATTACAAGATGTCAGTTCTTTTTCAATGCGCTCTGCAGTTCCGTAGATATCCTCCTCAAAGTTTTGTCTCGGGGGGGTGTACGGCAAAACTGAAACTATCAGCTCAAGCTTGATGGCAGGTCTTGTGATCAGCTGCATGGCCTTCGTGTTACACAAAGCTAAATTCAGGGGGTTAAGAGTCCCCGCTAAATTAAGCAATGAAATTGGTGTCGTGACATCAGCTACATTTCAGTTTCCCTGCTAAATCTAGTGGGGAAAATGATGTCGCATGACCTCGTGTCGCATCACTCATGAGAAAATTCAGCTTCTCCGCTAGATTTAGCGAGAAAATTGATGTCATGTGATCTCAACACTAATTAAATTTCTGCTAAATTTAGCGGGGCAGTTCCGCCGACGCCGCGAAACGGGCGCAAGAGTTGTGCTCTAAAACGAAGATGACATCAGAGCACAAGGTTGCTTGACAAACAGCCAATCCGCTGAATGCCCGCCGAGTTGCTGGTCGTAGCATTTGACCAGCTTCAGCTATCACGACACGCAGGCCGTCAACGAAGCGACATAAGCTGGTACACGCACTCACTTCCCATTTACAAAATTATTACAAGGGCCTCAATTGATTTGCTTCCAGCTTCGTTGAATGTCTCCTGCTTAACCCTTTCAGGACGGCTTTTTTTTCTAAAAACTTGCTAAAAATCCTGAAATTTTTACTTGTGCAAATGGTTCAGGAAGGTTTATAAACCAGAGCCACGTGTCAAATTTTCGTGAAAAAGGCATGGTTTATTAGCATTGCAAAATAACAAAAGGTGGGCTTCACTGCACACACAAGGTGGGCTTCACTGCACAACAAAAAATGTGCATAACAAAACAGGGAATAAAACTTGTCTCACAGTTTTCCACAAAACAGGCAGCTTCTGTGCAAGAAAGAGCTAGAGCTTCATAGAAAATTACAAGTCTGCGCTTGTGTGAAACACACGGAAGCACGGTATTGCGCACAAGGCTACGCTGCAATCAGGGCACCATGTCCTTGTTTCTTTTCGAGCTGACTTGGTCTTCGTGCAGATGACACATCGTCTCGTCGGGTTCGTCTTTTTCTCTGTTGGCGGCAAGTAGTCCGGGAAATGTCGTGCTGTAAGCCTTGTCAAGGAGTGGTCAGAGGCCCTACCTCTTCTCCGTGGGCCCACATTGTCACAGTTTGCTGTATCAGTCCCTCCACTAAGCTCAGTCTAAACTCGAGATGGCTGATAGAATTTCCGCTCTTCATGTATAATGCAAATGCATTATAAATCACCATGTCCACTAAATGGCGAAACAACTTCTTGTAATAGGTCTTTTGGCCATCTCGTGCACTCGGGTAGTAAGAGAGGTTTTGGTCGCTTTTATCTAGCCCGCCCATGGTGTTGTTGTAGTCCATGACGATGATCGGCTTTGAAACCACTTCGCCTTTCCGATTTGTGACATCAGTGCTCCCTGCTGAATGTACAGTGCTGAGGAAAGTTACAGGCTTCTTGTCTTTCCACTGGAGGCATAGACACTTGCCTCTTAGAAACGCCTCTATCTCACCTTTCCGAAGTCGTTTTGTGTCAAAGTTCGGCATCTCCTTTCGACGGGGTCTGGCTGTGCCGTAGACATCAGTCTTGCGTGCGATGAGCTTGTCAACAAGCTCCGGGGAGTTGTAGTAATTGTCTACTGTAACACAGTATCCTTCGTCCAACAGCGGACCCATGAGTGATGTGACCACACGCGTTCCCATGGCTTCGTCTTTGTTACCACCGACAGATCCTTTTCCAGTGTACAACATAATATTCCAAATGTATCCACTGGAGGCTTCACATAAAACAAAGAACTTTAGGCCAAAACGAGCACGTTTCAGGGGCATAAATTGTTTCCAGGAAAGTCTTCCTCTGAAACGGAGCAGGCTTTCACCGACGGACACGTCCTGCTCTGGCATGTAGAGTGCCTGAAATTTGTCAACGAGCCTAGTCAGGACAGGCCATAGCTTCCGAAGTTTCGGATAAGGGTGCTGATCGTCCGGTGACTCGTTGTCCGTGAAGTGCAGAAACTTCATCAGGAGGAAGAACCTATCTCTGCTCATTGTGTCGCCAAAAATTGGTGTGCGGAGGATCTCTCGCGTCGACCAGTAGAATTTCACTTCAGGCTTGTCGATCACTCCTTGCAAAATGATTAGTGCAAGAAACACCTGCAGCTCTCTTCTATCGGTCGGCTTCCAAGCTTTTCTGTGACCAGCCGTGCGCTGATGCGACCGAAGAAACTGCGTCACGCGGCGCTTGGTTTCGGCGACGATGAGATCGAGCTCTTCATAAAAAAACTGAAGGAAATACTCCACAACTCCGCCACCCTCGTCTAGTTGGACGTTGATACGAGGAGAGCCAGTGAAAGGAAATCGAGGCGGTGCACGAGGGATATTATTCATGTCAATTTCTGATCAAACACGTGAAGAGTTTGTGTCGTCAGTGCTCTCGTCTTCACTTTCATCGGAAGTGAGGTAGTCTAACCAAGACTCACCGGAGTCAGAGTCCAGTTCCACATCGCTTCCACTTGAAGAGACGAAAAAGTTTCCGAGTCCACAGTTTTTCTTCTTTTTTTTTTTGCCCCACGTGAGGAATCGTCGACTCGTCCTACGTGGGCCGCCATTTTTAAAGCACAGGGTAGCCAGCGCAACAACAAAAACCCCTGTTAAAAAAAATTCTTTCTACGGGCTCCTTACGCCATCTGGTGCCTTTTCCAGCAAGTGCAGAGCAACGGACGAGCTAAAGACGTCTTTAGGATCATATCACCAGTGAAACTATTTTGGACGAGCTGGGCTCGTCTTTTGTATTTTTTGCAAGTAAATGCCTGACGAGCTGAGCTCGTCTCCCGTACGGAAAGGGTTAAATAGCCGGGTTTCTAATGCACTGTCGCATAGGGACACATAACTTTCAGCACAGAGGCCAAATGGGCAACTGTGCTTATTCTTGACCTCATATGATCTAAGTACACTCATCGATCCACGGTGCATCGTTTTGACATACCCTTTCTGATTCTACATAAAGAAAAACTTCAGACACGCTGCTCATTCTTACTCATTGAAACATACAAAAAGTGCAGTCGAGCCAGAGTACTCTTAGGTCCAGGAAGTTTTGCCTTTGTTTATTTGTATAAGAATATTATGTTTACAATTTTGGTGAAAATCCGGGAGCATGCAAGAATGAATATTAATAGCTGTACCTTTTTTGATGGGCATTAGTTTGTGCAACCTAGCCAAAAAACTTTAAAAAAACACACCCTCCTTATCATCCCGTCGACGGAGTCACCAATTTTCTGTTGGCATCGCCCCAACACGAGACCCGCTGGGGCACAGATTTGAGACTGCTCCAGAGACATGAGGGAGGGAGTCCAGATTTTCCTCCTGTCCCCCAGCTGTGCTACTTAGTTGTTCTTCATCCAGTTTTCTCCAGATAATTTGAACCAGCACTCTAACCTCCTATTTGTTGCATATACTTTACTGTAATCTACACTTCCATCTTCTCCAGCGAAACTCAGGGCACCCGGTATCTTTGTCGCCACTTTAGGAAGAACAGCACTAAGCTCCTTACATTTCAGAATCACAAGTTCAAATGTGTTTCTCCTCTTTACATATAGCGCATATTTGATCTGCATCTTCAAATCTAGCCCTGTCTGTGTGTGTGCTGCCCTGTATACATTTCTTCTTAAAACGGCTTGGCCATCACGTTAAGGTGGAGAGAGTACGACTCTCGTTGAGGTGGAAAGAGTGTATGACCATTTTGTGACGTCATGGACTTTGCGCGCAGAATTTTAAAAAAAATCTCGCGCCATCAATATTGCTCTAAAAATTTTGTTTATTGCGTAAAATTTATTTCTTGACAAGCATATCCCGACCAGGCTGTTTAAAAAAACTTTTTTTCAGTGACCCTGTCATGGTACCAGTCGCATTTGAGTGCTTCTGTGAACCGAATTCCAAAGCGCAGCGAAATATTAAACTGTACAGCTGTGGCAGAACGGCATTAATGACTACTCATTTGCCAAACTAAGTGACTATTTTGTTTAAGCTTTTGTGGGTCAATACATACGGTGTTTTCTTCTAGGTGATGGAGCCACATTGTTGGGGGAGACCAGCTGCCCACTGAAAGTCACCGAGGACATCTGGTTCGGATGCTGTTCCTGCACCTATGTCACTAAAGATCAGTGTGGAATTGTGAGCCACCTGGCGGCCCATGGTGATGAACAATCCAAGTGCCAGCATCTTCCCATTTCAGGTTCTAAGTCCCAAGTGCTTGGCAAAACTCAAAAGCACAAGAGTGAAAAACCATTTAAGTGCAAGCTTTGCCCCCAAGAGTTTGCTTATCATTCCCTTCTGACCTGTCATGATCAAATACACACTGGTGAAAAGCGATTTAAGTGCATGCAATGCCCCAAATCCTTTGCTCAGAATAAAAATCTGATCTACCACAATCGAACACACACAGGTGAAAAGCCATTTAAGTGCAAGCTTTGCCCCGAAGAGTTTGCCAGTAATTCCCTTCTCACCTACCATAATCATCTGCACACTGGGGAAAAGCCTTTTAAGTGCACGCAATGCCCCAAAGCCTTTGCTCTAAATTGCCATCTGCGAACCCATAATCGAACACACACTGGTGAAAAGCCATTTAAGTGCAAGCAATGCCCTCAAGCCTTTTCTCAAAATTGTCATCTGCAAACGCATAATCGAAGGCACACTGGTGAAAAGCCATTTAAGTGCAAGCAGTGTCCCCAAGCCTTTGCTGATAATTCGGCTCTGAGAAGTCATAATCGAACGCATACTGGTGAAAAGCCGTTCAAGTGCAAGCAGTGCCTCCAAGCCTTTGCTTCGAGTTCTAATCTGCGAAGCCATAATCGAACACACACAGGTGAAAAGCCATTTAAGTGCAAGCAGTGCCCACAAGCCTTTGCTCACGAGTCCACTCTGAGACATCATAATCTAACACACTCTGGTGAAAAACCGTTTAAGTGCAAGCAGTGCCCCCAAGCTTTCGGTCGAAATTCTCATCTACAAAGCCATAATCATTTACACACTGGTGAAAAGCCATTTAAGTGCCAACAGTGCCCTCGAGCCTTTGCTTTTAATTCCTATCTGCAAAGCCATAATCTAACACACAGATGAAAAGCCATTTAAGTGTAAGCTGTGCCCACAGGTTTTTTCTCACAATACCAGTCTGATCCGCCATTATCGAAAACAGTGTTTAAAGGGAAACGAGTAAATATATTCAGTCAACTTTTTTTTTAATTTTCATTTATCATGTTGAAATTTAGTATACTGTAAATTGATGTATTTCTTAGTGGTGATTTTAATTATGCAACTAGTCTTAAAGATAGTTTTACTAGATCCTGACTTATCAATAAATTTTAGTTTTATTTAGGCCCTTGTTTTGGGTAGTTAGCGTAAAATTCTTCAGAATATATCAGAAATTTTATAGAATTGCATTGACCAAGACATGCTTTGTGGAGTGATGCTATTTTTGTTGCTTTATATGTCATAAAATAATTTTATTTAATTAGCCTGTCTTAATTAGTCACTAACGACCCGTAAAGAGGACCTAATTAAAATTACATATTTATTGATAACTCAGGATCTGTCTGAAAACTAATTGCACATTTGAAATCACCACTGAAAAATACATCTGTATACTAAATTTCAGCACGATAATGAAAAATAAAACGTTAAAGGCCCTCGTTCCCTCTTGAAAACCTTACAAGGGCAAACAATGCCCCAAAAGCTTTGCTCGGTATGGGAGTTTATCCGCCAGAACCAAATGCACATGTGCGGAATGCCTTGCGGTTGACCCGTAAGTTGAGCCTGCACCGTGTGTAATCATTGAGTAGCTCATACAAAACTTCATGCCTTTTCACTCAAAGTATGCATATACCTGAGTGCAAGATAGGTCCCAAGGCCCTTGCCCAGCTTAATAGTGAAGCTCACCGCACTGAAGCGCCTATGCGTAATAAACCTCACAAACTCCAGCAGCGTTCCAGGCCATTTTCTGATCGGTTTTGCCTCATCGGGCACAAGCTAACAAACCCTAAGGGCATTTGCATAAAGCCTGCAGCGGGTAGGCCTTTCAAATGCCAGCAATATCCGAGAAGCTTGGATCATAATTCCAGCTTGGTTGGCCATACAGCCAGACTGTTTGTCATTGCTCTCCCTCCTTTTGTCCGAAGGCCATCATTTGTCATCACACAAATGTATTGGTGCTTAGGAAATGATTCTTCTCCATTTGTGATCTAGAGGCTGGGTCAATAAACAGGAGACATTTCTTAATGCATTTCAGAGCATCTACTCTGTGTTCTGCACCAAATGTGCACTGGGTCATGCTCTAGCTCTTGTTCCAAACTCCCTTGAACTTGCTCGATGTATGCTTATTGAGGCGAGGTTGAATATGCTTGTAAAAATGTCTTCATTGTTTTCTTTTGATTCTACTCTTATCTATGTGGAAGGAAGATATAATCGTGCCAAAAGTTAATATATGACCACAATTCAATCTTGACTATTGAAAAACAAAAAGGTTGGCAGTTTCAACTTTAACACTCTTGTTTCTTTCAGCTGCTGCAGATTATGGTACTGAAGTGACAGCTGGTTCGCACACTTGTGCTTACGACCGTAGAAACCTGTTTGAAGCCTCTTGTGAGGGTTTACAACTTTCTGCACTGCTGTGCAGCCGGTCGTAAGCAGTCGCAAGAGGCTTGAAAACCGGTCTTGTTTCAGTCGGTCGTAGTCAAGCGCAAGTGTGTGAATGGGCCTTAAGTAGTATGAAGTAACTTTTTCCAAGATTTTCATTTTGGCCTCCTGTACAGTGCTAAGACCTCATTTTAGCAGTTACCTCGGTGGGGAACTATAATTGCCGAGTGTGCATACACTGAACACTTCCTGCTACAGGTTGGGACGTTGCTAATTGAATCCCTTGCACTGCCCAGCAGGTTTTGCAATAAATTGGGGTTCCCAAACATTTCATAGAACGCCATTTCATCTAAGAAAATGGCCGTTTCATCGAACGCCGTTTCATTAAATCGCTGACAGCCGTTTCATTGAATGTATCTTACATAAAAAATGTGAAAGATGCTCTTTTATGCACGGATCGAGTGCATTTTCGTGTCATTTATCCATTTCATTGTCAGGTTTTCTTAATGTCCGAACATGTAGCTGTTACAATTTATTTTGATGCAAGTAACCCAGAGGATATGTGTACCGATTTTTATGTTTGTTTCGCATATTGTGCTTATCTGTTCACCCCCTCTGTATTACCCGATGGGCCTTGAGGGTATTGTAACAAATAAATAAAAAGTCGCACTCCCGGTAAGAGCCCACTCCAACTCATGGAGGCCAGAAGGTGACTTGGGTTTTGCGCAGGCGCAACAACTTTAGCCATGTGAGCCTCCTAGCCTCTCATGTCTTTCTATTGATACTCTTTTACTGCCTGAAGCTTGCAGTAGCTAAAGCTGAGGTGCTATTTATGAAACTGCAACGAAACATTGTTTTTTTAGTTTCAATACTCAATGAAGTCAAAAGTAAGTACGTCACTTCAAATTTCATTTGAAAACTTTCGAGGGTTCATGTGTTTGTGCGACAGCCATTCACCGTTTCAAATGATGAGCAATTGCTCTCAAGAAGTCTCCCACAGCCATGCTCCGTCGGTTCTCATCAAAAAGGCGGACTTTCTCCTTTCTTGCCGCTATGACCTTCCTTTGGCGAAGAGGCTTTTGGGAATTCAGCATCGCCTCCAGCTTGTCTTCCGTCAGTTGATGTTCTGCGGCAATGCAAGTCAAAAACTTCCAGAACCCGGGATGGGCACCTCCAACCAGCTTCAGGAAGCGGGAATGCCACCCTGGCGTTCGATAAGACGGTGTTCAATAAAACGGCGTTCGATGAAACGGTGTTCGATGAAACGGCATTCAATGACACGGCATTCAATGAAGCGGCTTCAATGAAACGGCTTCAATGAAACGGCAATGGACGAAACGGCGTTTGATGAAATGTCCGGTCCCAATAAATTGGCACTGTACCCATTTTGGATAGTGTATTGCCCCATCGGAGCTGCGTTGACGAAAGTTGTGGAAACTTTGGAACCGACTAACATGCTCATACTCGCTGCTTTTGCCTTCCCTCTTTGTATTGGCAACTTCACAGTCATGTATTTATACGACACCTGCTTTCAGATATTGCTTTCCTTTGTGTAATGTGTTCCCAATATTTTCTCGCTCCGTGTCCATTTTCCCGGCAGTTGTTTCCGTGTTGCCTGGCTGTCTCCCTCAGAGTTTTCGAACCGTAGGTGTCATTGTTTGCTAAAAAGTTCCTTTTGCTTGTGTAACACAGAATAGTTTGTTTTTCTGCTTCTCTGATGGCTAACATTCTTACATTTTTTTAAAAGAATGAAAAGGGTTGGTGAAGCTAAAGCATGGAACACCTGAGCAATGAAACTGGGCGCCACTAAGCTCGTCACAGGCGCACCGCACGGCTTTATCCGTATCGACCAGATCCAAGCTCCGCCGCCACGTTGTGGGGAGGCGACGTAGGGACACCAGCACTGGTTGCTATGATACTGCCGCTCGCCGTCCGTTCTCGTCGCTTATGTGTCCCCTGCTTAAGTGTCAATGAATACCAGCTCGACCATAAATTTGCTTTCTTTACTATATCCTTTGAATCATTGCTCAATCTGTGAATAGTTTCGCATTGTTTAATCAATTTGCAAGCACATCTTTATCGTGGCAATTTTTGCTTTTTACTTTTACGTTGTTTGTCTCGAACGAAATCTGCGGATGATAAATATGTAATCAAACTTCCGTTTCACTCTTGCTCAGGAATAAAGATTGACAGTCGAGCTCCCGCAGTGTTGTCTTTTTTTTCTTCCATTGCATATCTTCGCTGAAGCCAAAGTGCTGCGGGCAGAGCAGCTCTTTAGAATGTTCCCACTCTGCCATCTTGCACAATGCCAGGATCCCACTGGAACAGTTTTGTCGCCAAGAAATTGACTACCAAGTGGAAGTCCGTATCGCAGCACATAAGTCAAAGTGGTGGTCCTGATGTCTGTTCTGACCGTAGCCCAATTCCTGCCCTCCAGCAGGTTTACGTAGGAGGTGACATCATGTTTGTGCTGTTTAATGCATGTGAAAGCATCACGCTGCCTTCGCAAATGTATGAAAAAGAGACATGGGAGACTAGAGGAACTTTGAACCGATTTTATTGAGCTGATAGTCCTCAGCACGGGGATCTTTGTAATTGCATACTGTTAAACGACAGTCGCTTGTTACAGACTATCCCTATCTAGCACTTACGTGACCGAAATATTTTGTTGCACCCGGCACTTGTTCCTGGGTATTGTAGTTGTGATTCCTGGCTCTCTTCACCAAAATGCATAGATTGGATGTCGTCGTACAAGTTGCAGTGTTCCTTATTCATTTTCTTATAGCTTATAAGTTATTTAATATATACACAATGAGAAGGAGCCAGCCACCACTGACCGTTGCCGCCGACCCGATTAGCATTGAATACCTCTTGCTTTCGCGCTCGCGCTTATTGACCGCTGGACTTCTTTATCGTCTTTGCTGGTCGCTATAAGTGCCCCCCTCCTGGAGGAGTTGGGGGCAGAGAGGCGTAGCCCAGGCGACGCGCCGAGAGTCACGTGTGTTGATGGCAGCTGACAAGTGCACAGCTTTGAGTCGGTCAAGAGACACAGTGTCTGTTCGGCCTCCCATGTCCAGTACAAAATGTTTGTTCCTCCGTTTTACCACCCTGAAGGGTCCATCATATGGTTGTTGTAGCGGCTTTCGAACGGTGCCTCGTCGAACGAAAACGTGTGTAGATGTTCGGAGATCGTGTGGCACATTGTAGTGTTGGCTGCAATGGGCATACTCTGCGCATGGCAGTTTTTAGTTCATTGGCGTAAGTTGCAGGGTCCGGTTCAGCTTGTGGATCACTTGGGGAGAAAAAATCACCTGGAAGACGCAAAGTGCTGCCATATACGAGCTCGGCGGGGCTGCAGTTGAGCTCTTCCTTGACCGCCGATCGGAGGCCAAGTAGGACGAGTGGTAGCTGTCTGCACCAGTGCGTAGAGTCTCCTTGTGCCTTGAGTGAGGACTTGAGTGAGCGATGAAATCTTTCCACCATACCATTGGCGATAGGATGATACGAGGTTGTGCGTATACGGTGTGTACCAAGTAGATGCATAAGGGAATGAAATAAAGCTGACTCAAACTGCCGTCCGCGGTCTGTTGTTATGGTGGATGGCACACCAAATCTTGCAACCCATCCGCTCACGAAAACCCGCACGATGGTGGCGGCAGTGATGTCAGAAATCGGGTAGGCTTCTGGCCAGCGCGTGAATCTGTCGATGCACGTAAGTATGTATGTGTTCCCATCTCATGGGGGTAAGGGACCAACAATGTCAATATGGACGTTATCGAATCGTGTGGTGGCCACGGGGAATTGTTGAAAGTCTGTGGAGGTGTGGCGATGAATTTTTGATTTTTGGCAAGCAATACAAAAGTGTGCCCATTCTCGCACATCCTTATTTACGCTGTGCCAAATAAAACGCTGAGTTATCAAACGCTGCGTTGCATGTATTCCAGGGTGTGAGAGACCATGGGTCGAGTCAAAAACCTGATGGCGAAACGGTACAGGGACAACAGGTCGCAGCACTCCAGTTGAAACATCGCAAAGGAGAGGGTGATCACCTTGCGGGATCGTAATCTTTAAGAGCTTCAGTTGGTTGGATACCTGAGTGAGCAGGAGGATGTCCTTGTCATCTTGTTGCGCGGCAGCCATATCTGCGAAGTCGATGGTAGGTGATATAGCATTGCAGTCGAAAGTCAATGATATGCGTGACAGGGCGTCCGCTGCTGGGTTGTGAGATCCCTTGACGTGTCGGATGTCTGTCGTGAATTCGGCGATGTAAGATAGGTGCCGTGTTTCTCGTGGAGAAAACTTATCGCTTGATGATTTTAAAGCGTACGTGAGAGGTTTGTGGTCCGTGAGGATAAAGAACTGTCGACCTTCTAAAAAATGTTTGAAGTGCTTGATGGTTAGATATATTGCCAGAAGCTCACGGCCGAAGGTGCTGTAGCGGCATTCTGCAGGTTCCAATTTTTTTTAGAAGAATGCAATCGGGTGCCAGACTGCTCCGATGTATTGTTGCAGAACTGCCCCAACCGCGGTGTTGGAACCGTCGACCATGACGTTCAAGGGAACATTTGGTCTGGGGTGGAATAGGAGTGCGGCGTCAGCTAGTGCTTGTTTGGCATGGTGAAATGCCGCTGTGGTTTGGGAGGACCACTCCAGTGCTGTGGAAGGTGTTTGCGCACCTCTGAGGAGGTCAGTTAGAGGTTTCAGTATCTGAGCGCAGTGAGGGATGAAACGCCTGTAGAAATTAATTAAACCAAGAAATTCTCGAAGTTTACGAATGGAGCTTGGCTGGGGAAAATTTTGAATGGCGTTGATTTTCTCTTCGAGGGGTCGAAGTCCGTGCTGGTCTAGGCGGTGACCGAGAAAATTGATTTCGGTCACACCGAATTCACACTTGTTCTTATTGATGATGAGTCCATATTCATCGAGGCGTTGGAACAGGAGTTTGA